GGTTGCCACAGAGGGGACGGTGGCAGCCACTCCTGGTGCTCAGTGCCAGGCTGGGCGTGCACAGCAGGAACCCATTGTTACCCTTTTCTTCTTCTAACCTCTGGACCTGAGAGGAGTTCAACTGGTTGGGCTGTGTTTAGTTTCCAAAAAGCCTTTTCTTTCCAGAAAGCGTCAGTAGGTCTCAGAAGTGAGCCCTGTGGACCAGCAGTGGTCTATGTGACAATGCAGGTGTGTGTGCGCTCTTTAAATTATATACAGTTTTATTTTTAGAAAGATTACTTAGAATTATAAGGGAGTTATAATTGAAATTTTAAAAATTCCCTTTCCACAGCCTTCTGTTAAAAAGTAACTGTGTGGCACAGCAGTGTCTTGTACTGAAGTTCAAGCTGTGTTTGCTCTACTTATAGCAGTAGGTGACCATCTTTTGGTCACCGAGCGGTTTGTGCAGCCAGAAGTGTAACATTTACCCAGCACAAATCACTCACCCTTTGGAGTGAATAACTGTAAACTCACCAGGTTTGTCACCATGCACATCATCAGTTCTTTGGCAGCCTGTCGGATTGTGAGTGTGAAACGTGTGAAAACTTGCAAGATTTCTGCTGTTCTCCTGACAGTGTTCCTGTGAGATCTGCTGCTGCAGAAAGTTGTGGATCTGTATGTGGAATTAAGGCTGTATCCATCAAAACTGGATATTACTTGAAAAAAAAGAACCTAGAGGCAGGCTGATGGTGGGCAACTTAGATCCAGGTATCAGTTTCCTCAGAGCTCAGCAAAAGGCAAATCCATGACTGAGTTATGCTTTTTTGGGGGGTCGTTTTTTTACTCTAACAAAGAAAATTGTTTGTTTCTCTGAAAGATGAGAAATGGGAAAATAGGTGGCCCTAGGTATGTCCTAGGCATCTGAGCTTTGTTAGACACTTTAGGGACAACTGAAGGGGCTAATTATCTTTCCCAATTTCTGCAGGTCATATTTTCCTTAGAGCCTGGCCCCCGTTCTCCTAAACAAACTCAATTCTTAAATTCAGCCTTTTATATCTGGCTTAAAACTTAAGCGATGAGTAATATTTCCATTCATTTCAGTGGATCATAAAAAAGACTTTTCACAGTTCAGAATGGAACTTTTTTCCCCCTAGTGATACAGAAGTTCATGTTTACTTTAGCTTTGGCAAGAGTAAGCTACACTGTTTATTATTTTGGAGGGTTGAACATATTCCCAGATTGAAGGTGGTGAAGATGCAAAACTCATTCAGGGAAACACGACTTGGTTTCTCAGGAATTAAGAAGTTTTAGGTGGAAAGGTTGAAGGTGCTGTGGAAGCTAGCAAGAGAGTTTGTAGCCTTTGAGGGGTTCAATGTAAATCTAATTTGCTTTAATTAACACCCAGGCAAATTAGTCTAGATCTCTGATTGTATTATTAGAAAAGGTATCAATAGCTGAGATTTCATTATTTCAGATGCGATGCTACTTTTCTCTCCTCTCCTGAAGCCTAACTGGCTCTGATTTCCCTTCCTACCCACACATTTGCACAGTGCTTGCTCTCAGCATCTAAACACAATGCTTGGTTTGGCCAGTTCTTCTCTCTGCTACCACTCTTCTCCAGTGGAGCTGTTCAGGTAAAATACACACCAAAGGTGTTTTATTCTTCAGACAGTGCTTTTGCAAATTTTGCTCGCTATGGTAGACCAAAAGAAATATAGTTTTAAACATTACACTAAATAAGGACCTGTGCTAACTTTGGCTTTTTTAGTAGTGTTCATATCCCCAGAGCAGACCTGGCTCATGCTGGTGGACATCTCCCAGCTTATCTCAACTTTCAGCTGCAAAAATTGCTGCAGTTGTACAGCATGTGGGTTTGCTTGCTGGCTGCTTAAGACCTGTTTGACATTGTGTATTGGGGTAAGTTGAGTGTTTGCTTCCTTCTGCTCAGTGGAGCTGCACATTGCAAATTACACACCCTTCAGTGGCTAATCATAGCCCAGTAGTGTAGCATTACAGGTGGTGCAGAATGCCAGCCCTGCATGCTGGCTCAACAGATACAAGAACAAACTCACCAGATGCTGCAGTTGGAGGTTAACCTTCACTGCTGACATTATCACAGCTACAGATTTTTTTTTTTTCTTTACTGTTTTGTTTTTATTTTCTTCTTTTTTTTTTTTTTTTGGAAGTGATTATTTGCTTTTCCATGTTGTTTGGAAAGTCTAGAAGTCAGGTGTGTGTGAAACCCAAAAAGAAGAGTAGGTCAGATTTTCACTGCATGATGAAGTGACTATAAATAGCTCTGTGGCAACATGTCAAGATTGCCTTTTTATAAACACTGCCAGGTCCTACCCGGGTGGTATGCAAAGGCTGCTCTTTATGTCTATCAAGGCTCATTTCAGCCCAGCTTACAAGATACTTCCAGAAGAACAGCAGAATTACTATTGCTCATATTCTGTGAGGATATTTCTAAGAGCCACCTTCTATTTCTCCAGCTCTGCTGTCTCCAGGATACTCTTTTTCCCCTCTTGTTTACTTGTGTTCTCCCCAGCAAATGTCACAGGAGTGATTTACCAAGTGCAGGCTCTGTGTAACCCACACTTTGTGGGGTAGACACTGGGTGGGCCGGGTCCTTTCCAGCCCCTCACTGTGTGGCTTTGCTTTTGCTGAGGCTCATTTTCTAAGATGCTGGCACCCAACAACAGGGTTGGGGTGGGAAAAACTGAATAATATCACAATGACATTTTCCTGTGGGGTGGAGGAGATTGGGCAGAGGCAGTACCTGGTGCTACTTAATGTTTTTAACTTTAGGTTATGTTAAAGTTTTAACCTAAGATAAAAGGTTTCAGATGATGATTGCCCTTTAAAATGTGATAATATGATGTGATATTTCATATGTAACCCACTCCACCAAAGTTTGAATCAGCAGCAATGGTGCCTTCAGTTTCTCCACTAAGTCCTGAGAAGTTATAATTTTAAGAGAAAGAAGTTAAGAGTCTTTTTTTCCTAAAAGAGTTTGGTCATTTGAACTTATGGTGTAGTAATAATTTTAAGAGTTGGCCCATGAGTTGGGCTGCCATATACATAATTCACAATACAGCAAAAATACACTTGGCTTCAACAAGCATTAAAACACACACTCTAGGCAAAATAATTTTAGATGAAGGAGGTTCATCTATGATGCCTAGACTTTCTTTTCTGCATAACTTCAGTATAGAAGGTTTTGACCAGTGCTGTCCCAGCCTGCACAGTAAATGCTTGTTGGTGCATACACACCATCTGCAGGGGCTGGGCAAAGGCCATCTTCTCATTTTGTGTAAACTCCAACATGAGTGGCTTTTTATGATTAACCTGATGCAATCAAGAAGTGGGATTCTTTTTTTTTTCCCCCTAAAATTATTGATATGAAGTTGAAACAGATGGTAACTCATGAATTCTTTCAGAACTATTTCATTCTTCCCATTTTGAAAAACACATAGAACTGGGGGTTTATTAGTTATAGTGTAAATGATCCATAAAGACACAAAATAATTCTACAATACCTTTGTTTTTATTCTTTATGAATTCTTAAGCTACATTTGTAAATGTAAAGATTTTTAATTTGGCAGCTGCAGCTGTGCTGTGCCAGAGAGACCTAAGGCTGCCAGGCACTAGTGGCTCATTCCTGTCTTTCTTAGCCCTTCAGCTTGCAGAGTGTTCTTAGACTTCTAATACAGTGCAATGGAAACTGTATTAACTGTGGTTACACAGGGGGAAAAAATGTGCTATGCTGACATGATAAAATAAGGGAGAACGTGAGTGGGATCAATTCCTGCCAGGAAATACTGGCAGAGTACAGACCCTGATCAGTGCAGCTTCTTGACGGAGTTTCAAGCTGAACGGGTTTTCTGGATAAAAATTGGAATAAAGTTCCTGTTGTTCAGTATATGGGAGAATAACATGCCCTGTGGGGCACACAGTTTTCTAAGACTTTCACAGAGACATTTTAAAAAATACTGTGAAGTGGAAGAACTTACATGTCTGCAAATCACAGGATCTTTTTTTTTGTTTCTATGATTTATGCTTTTCTGTCCCTTTTCCAAGGAATTATGGACCTGATAATTTGTCAAATTGTAAATGTTGGACAGCATACAACTTTTTTTTTTTTTTTGTCTGAGGCTGAAAAGAAGGAAAACTTTATAAAAATATATTTTAGTATAGAACTGTTACTTGTATTTCTCCTACTACTGTTGTACTTACCTGGCTATGATGGTCTCTGGGACCTGCTGGGAGAAGAAGTCCTTCACTGCTTTTCATACAAATATGAGGTAGTTAAAAGTAGTTAATGCATATGTCAGACGTAGCTGTTAGTAACTAGACTTGAGATCTCTTGCAGCTACTAGAAGGATTAAAACTGGCACCAGTATACTTGAATTAAGCTCTAAGATCTCTCTGAAGAAAACCCCACAATTACTAATATGTGAAGCATAAAGACTAAAAAGGCTGTAGGAAATTCTGTGCTAAAATGATGAGGAAGTCACCGTATAATCTACCCTCTGCAACTTACTACATGAACCTGGTGTCAGTAACCATCTGATAGGTGCAGGAGACAGTACAGTTGTTGGCCAACTCCCTCTTGGCTAGTAGTGAAAACATTTATTATGCATGCAGCCTTGAGCTGGCGTGGACATGCTGCAAGTTTCTCCCCCTTACGTATGATTTTATTGCTGAAAATGAATCACTTTGCTTTAGTCATGGGTCTAAAATTTTGTTCTTCTTGTGTTCATGGAGATCGTGCCTTTCTAATATTTTGGGAGGCTTATGCAGTAAAGCCAGTGTTTTGGCTTGTGCTCTAAGTATGCAAGTTTGTACTTTGTTTTTTATCATTTTCTTTGGCCTACTTAGCATTAAA